AGTATATAAGAATAAAAGTTGTTTTTCAAGGAACCATTTAGGGGAAAGAGACTCTAAGGTCGATTTCACCACAGGCCGACGGCGGATTCCTCCTGGTTAGCTGCTGGTTGGCTTTACTGAAATTTTCCGATTGACACTTTCGTTCGGTTTTGGTAGCACACGTTATGAAGTAACAAAATCATTCAACCTCTTGCAGATATGCATAAGTCTAAAAAATACATTCAACAAGTAGTTATAAACCGGCGAGTATGAAAGACCAGTTAACTTGATTTATTAATAAGAATGATATCATATATGTTTGATGTAAGTTCAGCAGCTTTTTACGGCAAGATTTGGAGAATGTCTCGAGGACAGCTTGAAATAGAGTATCCGGTGAAGCCCATCTACAACCGCCAGGAGAAATCCGACATCGCATTTTGGCCGGATCAGCCTCCAAACACCTCTACTGAGAAGGAATTTAAGCCATTATTTTCTCTACTAAATCTTGCTTGCAGCCAGTCTCAGATATCTAATGACACAGCCAATATACTAAGATATTTATTTATACTTAACCTTACCATAGAATTTGGCATCCTAACACACAATACTGACCTTTGACAAATCATACGGCACTTAATGATATTGAAAATAGCTTCGAAAGGTGTAAAATATAGCCTGATTGCTAAACGGGGCAGTTTCCGGAATCGAACTAGCCAAATCATCTATCAAAGCTCCCGTAACCTAAGTGATCTGAGATAGGTCATTTTTTTGGGGGAAAATCCATTGTTAGCTTTAAATATTACTCACAAATTCATTAGTAGTATCCTTTAAAATAAACGTTTGTTTTATCGCCTTCAGCCCTGCCACATACTGAGATTTTCAAAAAAGCGGACTTGCGCATTGCTCTGATCGGCGTTTGGACCCATCTTGTCCGAGTAAATATCCTGGGATGGAATACGTCTTGTATAGGTAGGTCTGACAAGTGGAGGACTAGGTGGGATCACACCCCTAAACAAGTTGTACATCCATCATATCGCCGGTGGGCGTGACATAAAGACGGGAGAGATCAAATTCAACAAAGCCGAATATGCCTCACCCATTAAGACCAGCTCGCCCGTATCTGCTTTCGCGGAGAAAAAGAGTCGGCACAATTATGCAACTGAAGCGATGCCGCATATGAGACCATTTTGGGGCTAGTAAGTAAGCCTTCATCATACGTACAACAAAATGGTTTCCCCGAGTGGCGTCGAGAAATGATGTTCTGCCGAGTTCAGACGATCTGCAAACCCTTTTGATTGCATATGAACGTGCGTGCGCCATTATGCGAGGCGAGATGTGTGCTTGGTAGGGTGGGAGAAGGAGGCTGGAGGGAGAGCTTAATGAGCAACTTGGATTAGTTATGTGAAGTGTTGCGAAATCCGGCTGAATGAGGCAATCGCATACGGATTGATTGATCGGCCGTCCCAATAGAGGGAGAGCCAGGAAGTCGAAGGACAGGCAGTTGGAGCTAAGTGTGTGTTATGCGTCGGATGTATGGGACTGCGAGTGAGTCTCGTCTTAGAGTTTGGCAGGAAAAAGCGAGACGTCTAAGCGTGACTCTGCAACTCGATGCCTGGTCCCGGCTTTCCTCTGAGCTGGTGAGGCCAGGCCATAACACGCACATGTCCACGCCTCAGCAGGTTGACTATTGTCGCGGAGAGGGGATCACTTCGACCAAGAGTCCGGACAGACGAAGTCAATAGGGCAAGCAGACGGGCAGGGCGCAGAGGCGACTGAAAATGCAGCTTCATAACGATCCCTTGACTACTTGTCACAGCTGACAAGGCGAAATACGAGTCTTGTATGGAAAGAGGATAGAGTGCCTGTCCGAGAGGGCAGGTGAAGGCGAAAAAGTGAACTAATCTGACAAATGAGGCAGAATCGGACCCAAACTGGCAGGGGGTCGGTAGACCGAGATCCCCGCCAAACCGGGCCTATGAGTCGAGGGGGAGAGCGGAGAGGGGATGATGGATGATGAGTGGATGAGCAATACCAAAAAGCCCCAATCGAGTCGCGGCACAATAGAAGGTCTAGCTTATCAATCATTAGCACACCGCTAATGGCGTGCATGTATGTGCATCCTAAAGGCATCATTCACACACATGATGACATAGCTCAAGCATGGTTACAGAAAAGAATTTTCAAATTTACCAGGCCGATTTCAAAAAGGTTAGGCAGTATCCAACGCCAATAGCTAAGTAAATTGGAGACTAAGATTAAAATATCAATCAAAATTGGTAAAAAATATGGCCGAAAATGATAAAGATGCAATAGGGTAAACTATCAAAACGCATTTACTTTTCAACTTCGCTGCCAGTATCAAGTTTCATATTGAAAAGCGGTGAGCAATGGACACGAGGTTCGTCACTCGAAGCTATGAAAACCGGGGTGAAGTGGGCCTAAGTCTTGCAACACTACAAAAAAGATGATTCAATATTTTGTACTCAAATTTAAGGAAGGGAGACTTCGTAGAACGTACCTTTATTTGCGTCCTCTTCCAGTACTCAATCGTTGGCCAGGGACATTCCCAGACTTTAGTCCGGCAATATAGTAGGCATCTTGAATAACAAGCACAATTCTCAGCATCGGGTTATACTTCGTCAAAGTAAAACGTGACCTCCCAGTTTAACAATTATGAAGACTTGTAGCGCTGTATTCTCAAATATTGTCCCAAAGAAAATTAAAGTTAGACGCTAAAATGTAGCTTCTCATTGAAGCTGCCAGCGAAACGTGTGAGGGGTTTACCGGGTCAACAGAACACTGCTTAGGAGGCACATTCTAACAATGGCAGAGGACACAGAACAGAATAGGCCCTTAGATGTCTGTCTGACGACACGACTAAGTAGAGCAAATAAGGCTGAAACTTCCTATACAGCGAAAAAAGACTGAGATCAAAATAAAGGCCAGTCCATCATGGTATTCATATAAGATATAAAGGTTTGGCCTTACATTATACCTTTTAAATCAACCTTTTGAGTTCATTTTATATTGGATCCATCCTTTAGACAGATTACTGTATGGCAAAACTCAGTTTTATTACCTGTCGATATATTAAAATAAGCCTATCCGTGATAAGCAGTGTAAATTCAGGCTTGGCATAAAAATAACATAATAGAATTTAGCAGGTTAGCTTGATATTTTTGGTGACTAGCTAGTTACACAGTTGATTAAATCACATGCGAAAAAACGGGAGGATTAAACTACTAATAGAAAAAGCGATTTAATCATATGAATAAATCTAGATAAATGAGTTCACTTTGGAAATGCCTAACTATGTTACATATATGATAGTGTAGCTATTAATTTTATAAAAGTAACCATAAAACAATAACCCATAAACTATTTGTTGTTTAAAATATCGGTGATTATACTTAAGAAACCTAAAACCCTGCCTTATTTAATGTAACCGCGTTGAATTTCTTGGTTAGATTTCACAAAAATAGACGATCTTAATCTGATTAGATTAGATGAATTTAATCAGGTGCCCTATGTAGAGTTGTGCTCGAGGCATATGGTTTAAAGAAAAGATACATTTTTTAGATTTGCAAGTATGCATTTGCAAGTGGGTTATGCCCCTTATATACGACAAAGAGAGTTCGAATGTAATATAGACGAGACTTGTCACTAACTTACTGTAATTGGGTGACATCAACACCATTGATCCTCCAACTAAAAGTAAGATAAAAGAGACTGTACATTTTTGATGATTTAGGCTTGGCAGGCAATTGCAGAGGGGGCAGAGTAGAGAGAGTTCTTCAAAAGCTACCATTCATTTTGAATAGGCTGTAGAAACGAAGTAAAACCGAAGCTGTCCGATCTCGTTTTGGCAACTTGATTGTGCTGTCGGGGCCACATAGTGGTCCCTTTGAAGAATTGTAGTTTGCTACTACGAATGAAAAGACTACTTGACGATGTTGACTACGATGCCTGCGAAATCTTTAGTAATGTATTAAGTCCATGGTACAGCGCTGGAAATTATCATAACTACTATATAAGAGGACTTCAGCCAAAGTGCGCCCAACTATGTCACTCTGGCAATATGAACGAGTTTATAAAACGAAACCAGACCCCAATCATAGCACGAGGAGACTGCGACCAAAACAGAAGCCACTGCATCTTTGTTTCCCTATCTACGAATTGAAACCGAGTCTATAAAAGCTTCCCCAGGCTGACCGGTTGCTGAAGATGTTTAAAAACCGAAATCGAGTCAAGTCCAAATCCTCAAGAGCCTCGTATAGCATCTATGAACGGCAGCTTTAGCGAATATTTCCGAGCACACTCTCGACCAATTATCCAAGGTCGTCCAACCAAATAATCTCTCGTTGCCAAGCTAGCTCATATTCTCGTCTTGGAGGCCATGGAGGCTATCTTAATTACAATGAACTTGGAAGCTTACCTCAGCTATCTAATCTGGGCATTCCAATTAAATTAACAAAAGTAATAGAATTTCACTAGAGATTCCTGTTAGGCTTGCCTTGATAAGGCAAGCTAGAATAGGTTTGTGGTGCAGTCCTTTGCTTAGACAAAACTTTTCTTGAAGAGACATTGGATACTTATCGTTTAGAAGGGAATTCTGTCTACGTATTCTCCCATGATCTACTTTTATCTATTTTGCGATCTAAATACAGAAATACCAATTTAGTTAATCCATTTAATAGGGTTCAAAGAAATTGACTTTTCATTGGAAAATAAATAAAAGAACTTAATTCTTTAGACAGCCTGTAACCTAGATACACTGAGAACAGCCTCTAGTTTTTACTTCTCTGGGTTTATTACGACAAACAAGTAGATCTCCGAAAATTCGGTTCCAAATTGTCTTGTTTTTATGTTCCAGATATTGGTATACCCTATTATATACGTTTGCACTTACGTTACCTAGACTACCCGAGGATCTTATTAAAGGGCTGTGTTTATCCAATTTGATTTAAGGTGATAAAACGCTTTTAGCTAGATTTTAACATTATGAAATGAGTACGTGTCACGTTTCCACTAAAGTTCACGTTGACTTATTTTCCAAAGGTACTCTCGTCCAGGCAGGGTCAGACTGCAGTCTCGACCTCGCTCAGGTCTCATCCTCGCCCCCAGCTGGACTCGAACTCTGGTGTTGATAGGGCAGAGTATAGTCTACACACGTTAACCACTACGCTATACGACTACGAGTGCCTTCGGGTCACAGGAAATAAATGAATTTCAATAAAGGTCAGGCCTTCTCCACATCACAATTCAGCTACCAGTCCACTTTAAACGAAACAGGCTTACTACAGTTCTTATCTAATTTTTGTCTGCGAATGGCTTCAACCTTCCGGAATTCTTTATTTAAGGCTGGGCCTAGTATTGCAGTATTTATGTATGGTGCATTCAAAGCATCAAGATCAAAAATTCGGAAATCCTTCTTGTTGTGAAGTCTATGCAAAGGGTCGAGATTGGAACTGCTTGTTTTATAAACAAGTTCCCTAACTGCTAATTCTTCGTATACCAACATTTATTAAGCCCATTCGATCATTCGTATACTAGTTCTATCGAAACCAGCAGTTGGATCATTGGATTAATCTTATCATCTCCCCGTGACTCTTCAACACCACAAATGAGAATAATCCCCATCTTGTCGATGTTACTTGCTGGTCGAATTAATGGCAACAAGAACTTCCCAAGAACTCGATGTGCAGAGCCATGTCATCGGCCGAGCTAAACTTGTCAGTTCATCTCGAGGGTGAAATGTTATAAGCTCTTGCTTATGAGTGGACCCATAAACTCCCTAATTTGTTTGTATGGTCCGAAATTATGTGATTATCTTGTCCTTTTATACAAGCTATCGATCCAGTCCCATAGAGACCCATCTAGTCTTGTTCTCCAAGTAACCTGTGTCCACTGCACTGCCCTGCCATATGATTGTGAGAGCATGAATTTCTGCCATACATGAGCAGAATTCGTTACTTTGTGTCACAAACAAGCCCTCATCCTATGAGAGATCTGCCTATATACAAAAGATATGCTCTCATCCTTTTGGATGGTTGCTGACACATTGCAAGCCCTTGTCTGACTGGTTTAGTGGGTCAGTTTTCATATGAGAAATTTCGCTCGAAAGCAGAGGAGTCACATCTACGATGCATTCCAGACGCGTCAAGTATACCGATAACACCACCCCTTTGGGACTCCTGGTTATGATACAGTTGCAATAAGCTGTAGTCTGGTTGCAGATAACTAAACTATGATATAGTGACAATATATAGTTGCAGTAACATCGAAAGTTTACAATCAAAATGGCCATTGATCGTTGGCTTTATAGTGAAGCCAACTGTTATAACATCTCTTTTATCCTACACTCATGGCGACTCAGAGAACTTTTGAGAGTATATGCGAAGAAAGTTTGGGTTGCAAGCAATCTTTTCGTCAATAATTGTAGAACTCACTTCTAGCTTGAATGAAATTATCTGATTATTAGTTTCGACATGTGTCGAGTTCAACCTATCAAACACATAATCCTTTGAGTTTATTTATTTGAGTGGAGAAGCATGCTAAAAACTACATTCGTCCGACATATGATGGACATCATCAGAATAGGTTACCATGCCTATAGTCATATTCGAGCAAGCGAGTCAGGAAAGCTCTTGGGCATTATCTCTAAATGTTGTATGCATATATGCCATATGTGCATACCTTTTGATAAGGTATAGGATGATTTAGTTGTATCAAGTTATATATCAATCTGAAGGCATGTTTGCGTATATGCGTGAGCTTATTTGCCTTCGTGTGTACATATATGCACGAAAACAGCAGTGTAACTCAAAGCAATTATTACAGAATATACCATCGCTTCTCGTCATCAAGGTCTAAGTAAAATCACCCTCTACTATTTTTTAATATTTTAATTATCACTATACTTACGTAATTTCGGGCACAGGTCTGGCTTAGTTGGTGAGCTTTGTGTTGGGGTGTTAGAGAGAAAAAGTGAACAAAGATGTATATAAATTGTTATTGTGATTAGTGCCATTATCAATGGAAGCAGAATTCTTTTATCAGGTGGCTCAATAACATTTATATCCTTAAGTCCATCAATTAAGCATAAATGGCTCTCAGATACGATGACCAAGATGGAGTATGGTCACAGTCTCCTTTAGTTGTATAGTGTTGGTTTGACCTCGTTTTCGCAACTTGATCGGAGCGACAGAGAGACCTTGTGGAACGTACCTAGTTCTGCGTCCTTTGCGATAGCATTGAAGATGATTTTCAGCATCTTACTGTTGACGTTTTGCCGGCATCTTAGTTGGCATCGTCAGTGGGAAGCGTCATCGTTAGCACAGTGTTAAAATTTATCCCAGGCAAGTCATTG